CAACAGAATAGTAGAGTTCCCTTTTGGCTACATCCCCACCATGATCCTTCTGCTCTGCCTTCCAACTGCTATGATTATAGACATGTTATCACCACACAAGATGGGTACTTGAAATATTTAACATTTTACTAGAAATATGTTTGCAAATTTATGGAGATGAACATTTCTATTAAATTTAATTAAATGTTTATAAATTTATGCAAGAATAACAGAAAAGAAATAAAACATGTTTGAAAAGAAGAGTAATGAATAAGACATGCACTATTTGGCATCAAAGTTACTCTAGAGTCAGATCAATAGAAATAACTATGTCAAAGCTCAGCTTCATTGTGTGCTGTGGGCATGTATTTATGTGTGTCTGTTTTTGCACAGTTAATCTATGATATAGAAGCATACTGTCCAGTATTGCTCATAATAAAGAATATACAAATATAAGCATCTTAGTTCTATACACATAAAAAGACATTATTAGAGATATTATTAAGCATTTGTGGATTGCTAGAGGCCATTGTGAACAGAGGAATTTTCTGGATAGCCATTTGCTATTTATCAAATGCTTTAAAATATTCATAATGTTTAATGTGCTAATTTTATTCTTAGCAATTGCTCCTAAGAAAGTGTTCAAAGATGCAAAGCATTTATGTGCAAATCTGATTGCAAAATCATGTTGTATGAGACAAATTTTAGAACAACACATGCGCCTACATATTAGACTGTGATTAAGTAAATATGGTAATGACAAAAACTGCATCATGACTAGTAATAATTATTAATAAATAAATTAAGTAAATTACTAATAATTAAGTCTAGATGTAGTATTAGTTATTAAAACATAAATTACTAAATAATTTACTGATAATTAAGATTAGTCCAAATATATTTCTTTTTTGTCATGATCCTGTTAGTTATAATTACTTACAATTAACTAAGAAGATTGAATATAAGATTTCAGATAACTCAAATTTGGTATGTAGAAACTATATTTTGATAAACTTTATATATAGTATGTATGCATATATAGGTGTATACACAATAATACATAATGTATACATATAGGATATATGTGACATATCACATATACATATATACACATAGGCATATACATGTAATCTATGTGTCTATATAATCTCCAGATCCTGTGGTTCCTGTGAGAACATTGCAGATGACAGCCTCTGGTGTTTCTATAGAATTTATTAGAATTCTGGTGTTTCTATAGAATTTATTAGAATCTGTAGAAATTCAAGGAATCTGAATCTAAATCTAACTAGACTGAGATAAGAGTATGACCATGAATTGTTATCACCTTCTTTTCATCTTTGCCTGGTTTGGGGGTCTTTTTTGACATATGCTCTCCATAATTATAGACAACCTAGCCTTGTTTTTTGTTTTGTTTTGTTTTGTTGTCCTGGGGCTTGAACCCTGGGCCTGAGTACTGTCCCTGTGCTCTTCAGCTCAACGTGAGTGCTCTACCACTTGAGCCACAGCACTACTTCTGTTAGTCTCATGGACTTTCCTGCCCAGTCTGGCTTTGAACCGCGATCCTCAGATCTCAACCTCCTGAGTAGCTAGGATTGTAGGTGTGAGCCACCGGCGCCTGGCTGTCTTGGTTATTTTTAAAGAGTTGTACAAAAGAGTTACAATTTCAAAAGTCAGGTTACTAGTACAGTGTTTCTTGGGCAATGTCAACCCTTAATTCACTGGTTCCCTCATTTCCCCTCCCATCCCTACTGGTGCATGTTTACATCATATTGAATACAATGACTGCAAATAGTGTGTATTAAATGCAATGACTGCATTTACTCATCCTTCTTCCCTCCATTTCTGTGCCCCCTTAACCTTCCCCCGCAAAGAAAAAAATGAAAACAAAAAACATGTTTCAATTTCTTGGAATTCATTTTGATAGACAGTACTTTAGATGTTCAAAGTTGTTCTGCCTTTGAATGCCTCTCCTATGCATACTCTCCTTCAGTTGGTTAGTTTATGTGTTAATGTGTACAGCCTCGTGTAAGTTATCATATCCAGTTGTGTTTTAGATCTAGCTTCAACATATGGAAGAGAGCATGCACCATTTGTCTCTCCGAGCTTGGCTTACCTCCCTTAAGATGTTTTGTTCTAGCTTCCTCCATTTCCCTGCAAATGACATACTTATTATTCTTTCTAATGGATGAGTAAAATTCCTCTGTGTATATGTATCACATTTTCTTGATCTACTTCTCTATTGTAGAGCACCTAGGTTATTTCTATAACTTAGCTATTATAGTAGAAATGAACATGGATACATATATTTAACTTTTAAAATGATTACCACTTTGGAAATACTTTAAAAAATAAGGCCATTATATTTTGCTTATTTAAACCTACTCTAATATGTGAATTTATAGCTAATCTGTGCTATTTACATTAGTGCATTGTTATATTTTGTTTTTGATTCAAATGTCACTAAATATGTCATCTCATTTGACATGAGATGATATGACTGTGTATTAACATACTATTAGAAGCTTCATGCAGATCCATTAAATTTATATCTAATGTAAACAATTAATATCTAATATAAACATACTTAACTACTGTTAATTTTGGGTAGAAGGTTTTAATCTCTGATGTATTGTAGATAGAGAAGCAAAATTTTGGATTACCTTTGTTTACTTAGTCATTTTGGGGTGGGGTTTATGGTGCTGGATGCCTGAATGTGATTTGATATGTACTGATCAATTTCTTTTTAAACTTGCAGCAAATAGTGGCAGCAATAAATGCGGGGATTATTCCCTTAGGAAACACCTCCAATCAAATCAGTCACTGGGATTTAGGAAGTTCCTTCTTCTTTGCTGGCACTGTTATTACAACCATAGGTAAGAAACAATCTAGTTTATGTTTTATTTTGATGTAGTTTGTGACCTTAAATGCATTTCTTTGAATTTTCTTTATATAGTTGGTCAAAATAGTCTACTTACAGTAGGAAACTGAATTATAGTAAGATGATTTTGAAAGAGGAATAAAGGAATGAAGTTATTATTCCAGAATACTGACAAGTTTAAACGGTGAATATTGACCTAAATTTAAATTATGTATGTGACTCTGCAGCAACCCTGTGGAGTCCTTTCAACAATATATGATGTAATGTCAAAATTGGCTTGGAACAATGAAATCTTTGGGCAAATAATCTTTAATTTTCTTGTGTCTTTAATATGTCAAGTAGGGACTTGAATACAATTTTTACATTTTTTTCCTAGTATTCTTTTTGTATATCACCTTGATCCATTTGTTTCCATAGACTGTGTGTGTTGTTATATGCTCATGTGTTATCCTAACTCGGCTTTTATAGCTTATGTTTTGATAATAGCATGAACATATTAAAAATTAACACTAAAATGTGAAGATTACAGAAAGGAGCCAATTTAAAGCCTTGATATGTTTCCTAGTCCCATTGTTTGTTAAAATGTTGAGTCACATGCTGGAGCAGTCTCATTTTTAATTGATTATGCAAACATTCACCAAGCCTAAAAGGCAGTAGGTTGGGTGCACAGAGATGTCTGCTCTTAATCAGTTATTCAGGCTGAGGACCCATGTAGACTATTTCAGGGCAGACCCCATAACAAAACCATGTATGTCATTCTATGAAGATTGTAAAGGGTTTCAACTTTCCTCTTCATGGAAGGTGGTGAGTTTAAGAAAGGGCAGGAAACTGACTCATTTGTCACAGTCCTGAATGAATTTCAAGTGGGAAAAAATGCAAAGGGAAGTCTTTTTCATTGTAGGCACGTCCGCTTGCAATGAGATTTTGGGACTCACGAGGGACTTATCCCTGGTTATGGGGTGAATTAAGATTCTAAAAGTTTTTATTGTATACATTAATATCATTAATAAATTGGTCAGGAAGTTTTCATCTCATCACTTTATATCAAAATCTTTATTAAGAGAGCATGGAAAATTTATGGATGAATTTGCACTTAAAATTCTTCCTTAGGCAAGATTTTTTTTTTAGTGTCCTGTCTATATAGAGTCCACTGTAGTGCCAGCAAAATAAATGCCTCTGCATATTACTGTTTGCTTTTGTTTTGAGGTCAAGAAACAATGTTTATGCTTACATTTTCCATCAGCCAGGTCAAGAGTTCTGTGGCTGTGAAAATCTGGAAGAAGGGCAACCTTCACTTCTAACCATAATAATAGGTTAAGTTTGAGGCATAGACATGTTGGCCATTTCTACCATGGAAATAACCATTTATTGTGTAAACTACTTAGAGACTGCAAGGGGAAAAAATCCTCTCAGACTGAGTGAGGGAGGTCCTTTCTGTGCAATGAAAACTCCCAAGTCCAAGTTATAACTCATCATGATCTCCACTGAACAATTTTGCTAGAGACATAGTCATTACACAGACTTACTGTTGCATCATACGTTTATAAACTCTCAAATTTTGATTCTCCAAATTCAGTTAAGTTTTACAGGCATATACTTCATTGCATGAAAAAAAAATAAACCATTGTTACTACTTTTACTCCAAATTATAGCCATTAAGGACAGTAGCTTATTATTTAGCTTATTTAAGTAGTTGCCTAAAGGCCCAAATCTCATATTGTTCATGCAAGTATTTAGTCTTAGATAGCTTAAGTCATTCTGAGTCATTCACATGGGGACATTGTTATTCTGTGATCCTCTGACTTTGCACTAGATTAAAATTTAGAGCAGTTAGAAAAATGTAGCCTCTTTCTAAGGGTCCATTTGACACCTGAATTACGAATCATGATTATTCAAGATATAGTTAATGACATTGATGATGATTATAATTGTGTGACCTCCATTTATAAACAGTCATAGGAGGGGTTGGGAAGGTGGCTCAGTGATAGAGCGCTTGCCTTGCATGCATGAGGCCCTGGGTTCGATTCCTCAGCACCACATAAACAAAAAGAAAAAAAGCCAGAAGTGGCGCTGTGGCTCAAGTGGTAGAGCGCTAGCCTTGAGCTGAAGAGCTGAGGGACAGCGCCCAGGCCCAGAGTTTAGTCCCCACGACCGGACCCCCCCCAAAAAAAATAGTCATAGGAACTGTTACTTATAGTTCTAAATGTGTTAACACTGATTATTTTGAAAATAGAACTTGGGAAAATTTTAGGAAATAAATTTCAGTGGCTTTTACTGTGTGCCTAGATCAGGCAATGCTTCATGAATATAGGCTGGTTATATTGTTCAAGGATTTTCCATTTTATTTTATAAAATTTCATTTTGTGTTTTAAGAAAATGGGATCTGAACATTATTTATTGGAAATATGCCCAAGGGAAGTTTAATTGTGCAAAATAATATGTTGAAATTTAAGGTGTAGTTTTAAACCATCATTTCCTATGTGCACACATTTTCCCCCAGCATATTTCCCTTCTAAACTATTCACAAATTCTATATTCCACAGTTGCAGAAAGTAAAGTCCATCTTCAGCCCTTCCTTTTCTTTCATATTCCATTTCCAGGATACTGGCCAATCTTGCTGACCCAACTTTTAAAATAGCTTCATAGTTTAACTCATTTTGGTTCTTACAAGAAGCATTTCATGTCCCCTTTATTGCAGAAAGCTTCAGTCTAGAATTCTTTACTGGTATCCAAATTAATCAGAGCAGAGGTACCACATTCCCTTGCCTGTTTCTGATGGCAATATGCAGTTTCTATGAGGGTATAGATTTTTATGTGTTTGGATTGTCTCTGTTTCCCAAATATGCAACTCATGTGGTGCTTAAGTACTATATTGAGGAGTAAAAACTAAATAATGATTCTAAGTGGTGTGAACTATGGCATGTTGCACATGAACACCCACTGGTTACCTGTGAGGCCAAAATCTTAGTTCTTTCAATGGATTTCACTATCACCTTGTTTTGTTTCTTTATTCATTTATTCAACATAAACTAAAAACGTTGTTACTCTGCTGTCACAAAGATAAAAAATGCATTTGTGCCTTCACACTATCCACAGGTCAATTAGGGAAACCAATGGGAAAATAAATATTGCTATTATAGTTGTTCTGGATGCTAAAGTCTGAGCACTTAATGAGACTATGTTGATCAACAATGTGCTTCAATATCAGGGTGATTTGGCAGGTGAGTAAAGGGTAAGGATGTTTTTCATAGTGTTGTCCTAATTGGGACAAGAAAGAGAATTAGGGATTTGGCAAATAAATATGAGCAGGGGCATTTCAGGCATGGAGAACTCGTGGAAAAGATCAAAGGCAAGAGACAGGAGGGTTTGTTCAGGTATGGTAGGTCATCTAGGATGGCTGGTTGTAGCTGAAGGGATTCATCCTCAGGATCCTGTAAGTCAGTGCCAGGGTGTCTCCTGTTGGATAAGTACTACTTTGGCCACCACTGGGAATATAAGGAAGTAAAGACATATACCCTACTTCAATTTCCTTTGAGAGTTCAAAATTACATAGATGAAGGACAATAGTAAGTCTTGGGTAATCAAATACCACATGGAACAATGTTTTCAGTGCAGTATGTGGGGAAGAAGGTCAGCATGTGGACTAGAGCTGAGTGGAGAGATGAAAATGGAGGAACTGGATGTGAACTGGGCTTGGAGGAAACTGTTTTGTTTAAGCTGAGGGAGAAAAAGGACTGTGGCATGATTAAGCCCAAACCCAACGATTGTAATACTCTTGACTTATTTTGGGGAGTAGAAAGATGAGCCTTTGGGTAGACCAGCAGAATTCGTAACAGGAGAGTGGAAGACATTATTAACTGTTTTAGCTGGGCAAATGTAGTTTAATGTAATTTTATTTTGAGGATTCTGTACCTAATAGAGTAAGATAAAGCATGGATTTTATTTCAAAAGTGAATTGAAAGGTTACAGTGACTTTAGGGGGTGGATGTGTCAGGAAGAAAATAAGTGGAAGCTGATGGTCCAGCTGAGACCCCCCGTTAGTTGACCCTGGCTGAGGTCCATGGGGTGAGACTATTACCCATGATGCTTAGAGTTGGTGTTGAATGCAGGGAGGAAGATAGAATGTTGCAAGAATTAGATGCAGGAAGCAACTGATCTTGGTGACTAAGAGAATGAAGAGGAGTCAAAGTGTTGAAAATGAAATTAATATTTAGGCAACAGACTTGTAATTCATAGAGAATCATACTAGTTGATTCTAAGACAAAGGAGTTAAGGATTTTTTTTTTTTGGTCCGGTCGTGGGGCCTAAACTCTGGGCCTGGGCACTGTCCCTCAGCTCTTCAGCTCAAGGCTAGCGCTCTACCACTTGAGCCACAGCGCCACTTCTGGCTTTTTTCTTTTTGCTTATGTGGTGCTGAGGAATCGAACCCAGGACCTTGAGCATGCAAGGCAAGCGCTCTACCACTGAGCCACCTTCCCAGCCCGGAGTTAAGGATTTTTATATGTTGTGTTATTTTAGGAAGCTTTATTATAGCATTCTTTCCCTCCCTCAACGTTTTTATTTGTTTCTTCTTTAAGTCAGGCAGGCAAAGAATACAAGTTAGTTACTCAGCCTCTTGGAGCTTGCATTGAGGTGGAAAGGTCTACGGGCCAACCAGAAGATTCATAAACAAGAGCATGAATGATGACAAGAAGAGCTACAGAAGATGCTCATGTAAAAGAATAGAGAAAGTCAGAGCAGGGAGTGGGAGGTATTCTAAAGAAGCTGATGCTCACAAGAATGCTCTGACAAGGTGACATTTAATCTGAAACCTGAAGATTGCAAAGACATCCTCAATGTAAGCAGATGTGAAAGACAAGTTCAGTCAGAGGGCACAGAAGTGGCAGAGATCTGAAGTGGGATGGATTTGGGCATGTTTGAGGAATGTAGCTGATGCCAGTCTGATGGCAAACTCTGGAAATCTGGAGAAAGGGAGGCAGGGGGAAGAAGTGAGTT